TTATTGTGTGTTCACTTGTTTTAGGGAATACCTATGTATCAGAAGTGGTGAGTATTAAGGAATAGATTTAATTTGAATTACTTACCATTATATTCTGAGGATGAATAGCACAAGTACAGTCTGCATTTGGATATATTCTTAATTAAGAATCTGGAAGCGGGATTGAATGTAACTATCTTTTAGTAGCTGGGCCTTGTGGCACATACCTGTAATACCAGCTGCTCTGGAGGCTGAGGCAGGAGGATCCAAGTTTAAGGTCAATTTCTGCAACTTAGACTAAAAAAAAAAAAAAAAAGTCTTCCCTCTGCAAATCTTTCTATTAGTCATGTTCATATAAAGAAATTTTTATTTTTGGAGAAATTATTCATAATGACTAAAAACTTGATGGCAGAGTCTATATTGTAGTATTGATTGTGGTAGCCAATATGTTTTGAATGCTTAAGTGCCAGGTACTGCTCAATACTTTATGTGTATTATTTTATTTAGTACTCTCAACAACTCTGTGAGGTAAGAAATATTATCTTCATTTTTAGGTGAAGAATAGTTCAAAGAAGTTAGGTAGGGAACCTTCCCATAGTCACACAAATAGTAAAGGCAAAGAGATTTAAGAGGAAAACAATAACACTTAAGTCAGCTAGAATGGGGGATCTTGAAATAGTCAAATATGTATGACATAAAACATTTCCATTTGTAGAAGTTCTAATTTTGATCCAAAATTGGTTATGAAGATAATATTAATTTACACTTGTTGAGAATATACTTGTATGCTAGGCATTGTTGTAAGCCCTGTTACAGGTATCAGGTTATTTAATTTTCAAAACCAATCCTGTAAAATAGGTAATATCATTGTGTACTTTTTTGCTGTGCTGGGAATTGAACCCAGGACCTTGTGCATGCTAGGCAACTGCGCTTCTACTGGGCTACACCCCCAGCCCATTATGTTTATAGAAGAAGAAATTAATGTGAAAACATAGGGTGACTTGTTCATGAAGGTAATATCAGGGGTTAAAGTCCAGGTAAAACTGAATTGGCGCCAGCATTCCTGTACTACTTAACATATTTATGTGTTATATTCCTAAAGATTATATAGATGGGGAGAAAAAGTCCATACTGTGGTGTTTCAGTGTACCAAACTCATCTTAATCATGAAAGTAACTAAATTTGAGATTTAATTAATATGTGGAGATCTTTCTTTTTTGTGGCCTTTAGGACTTTTTTTAAGGTTATATTGAAGCTGGCTGTTTTTTGTTTGTTTGTTTTTTGAAGCTGGCTGGTTTTTTTTCTGTACCTTGAATTTACTGATTCTAAATTCCACTTTTATCATTTTTGCCTACTAAATCTCCATTTTATTTATACACAGTTCAAAGACAGTGTAGTGCAATGGAAAGAGCACTTATTGGGTTCATGTATGCTGCATTTTAATTCCAGCACTGCTAATTGTTAGCTGTATGATTTTGGCTAAGATATATATCCTTAGACTGGCCCTTTTGTAACATGTAAAATAGGGAGAATGTAAACCTTTTCTGAATAGTTTTAAGGAGTAAATAAAATGACATATTGCAAAAATGCCTGCTATACCACTTTGTACATGGCAGATGTTTTAACATTTTTAAGTGCTTTTCATCTTAGAAAATAAAACAGTACTATTTCTTTCCTTATATTTTCTCAGATCCTCAGGAGAACTCTGTGCTTGTCAAATACTCAGTAGCCCTGACCTTTAGAATTTGAACCAGATACTGTAGAGTTCCTCAATAAAATATGAAGAGAATTGTGTTAATTTTTTATTGTTGTGGGACTGTTTTGTGTTTAACTTTTACCAAGAAGTAATCCTCTGCTTTTTAGGAAAGATGGGGGTCAGGAAAACTCCAGATACTTGTATTTCTGGAGTTCTTCTGGGATGGATAAGTGAATAAATTAATAGATGAACGACATTAAAGTTGGAAATGTAAAAAGCAGATAATAAGACTTTTGAAAAGGGGCTGGGGCTGTGGCTCGCAGGTAGTGCACTTGCCAGGCATGTGTGAGGAACTGGGTTTGATTCTCAACACCGCATATAAATAAATAAAGGTCTATCAACAACTAAAAAAAAACTTGAAAAAATTTGTCACAGGAGATTGTTTTTTGTCTGAAATATTTCCATCTTCTGATATCTAGGTGATGATGTAGATAGTGGTAATTTATAAGCTGATTTTGGAACAGTATATTAATAGACAAAAACAAATACACAAAAGGTCAGCAGTCCCTGCATATTCTGGGACATTCTGGGAACATTCTGGTGCTGGTTCAATCCTCAGCACCATATAAAAATAAATAAATAAAATAAAGGTATTGTGTCCAACTACAACTAAAAAAAAAATTAAAAGAAAAATTTCTGATGTGTCATATTTTTTTCCACTCAGTTTTATTGAGAGGTCACTTCAAGTCATAAAATGCATATATTTAGGACTGGGGTTGTGGCTCAGTGGTAGAGTACTTGCCTTTCATGTGTGAGGCACTGTGTTTGATCCTCAGCACCATGTAAAAATAAATAAATACAATAAAATTATTGTGTCTGTCTATAACTAAAAATTTTTTAAAAATGAATATATGTAAAGTGTCAAAGGTGATGAATTTTGATACATACAAATATTTGGGTAACCACTACTTTAATCATTTTTATTCCTGAATGGTATTCCACTCTATTAATATACCACAATTTGTCTATTAACTTGTTGATAGAATTTTTGTTCGCAGCTTTGGAATGTTAAAAATCAAGCTTGTATAAGCATTTTTGTATAGTGTTCTTGTGACTTTTTATTTTATTTATTTTTAAATGTATATATATTTTTAAGTTGTAGTCAGACACAATATCTTTATTTTATTTATTTATTTTTATGTCGTGCTAAGTATCTAACCCAGTGCCTTGCACATGCTAGGCAAGAGCTCTACAGCTGAGCCACAACCCCAGCCCATGACTTTTTACTTTTAGGGAAGAGTAATGACTGAGTAGTTGATGGACATTGTTCAACTGTTTTTCAAGTAACTAAACCATTTTATACTCCCACCAGTAATATCTGAAATTTAAAAAGTCACTCCACATCTTCACTAACATATGATATTGTCAGTCTTTTTATTTATTTATTTTTGTCACTTTTTTTTAACTTTTGCCATTTTAGTGGGTGTGTATGCAGTGATATCCCATTTGATATTTTTATAGATTTTTTTTTAATGTGGTGCTGAAGATCAAACCCTGTGTCTCACACCTGCTAAGCAAGCACTCTACCACTGAGACACAATCCCAGAGCCCCTCCCATTTGGTATTTTTTGTACCTTTATTATTTTATTTTTTATGTGGTGCTGAGGATCAAACCCAGTGTCTCACACACAACCCCAACCCTCCCGTTTGATTTTAATTTTGTTTTTCCTCTAGATAACTAATGATATTGAGCACTATTTTGTTTGCTCTTTGGCCATTTGTTTCTTCTTTTGTGAAGTGCCCATTTTAAAAATTGAGTGGTTTGTCCTTTTAAAATTTATTTTTTAGGAGATTGTCATATATTGTTTAAATTCTTTTGAGAGTATTTTGAGCAAGCATATGGCTTGTCTTTCCATTTTGTTTGTTTGTGTGGTGCCGAAGATTGAACCCAAGACCTCATGCATGTTAGACAAACCTTCTACCACTGAGGTACATCCCAAACCCAGCTTCCCATTTTATTAATGGTGTCTTCTGCTGAGTAGTAGTTTTTACTTATTTATTTATTTATTTGTTTATTTATTCATTCATTCATTTGTTTTGGTGCTGGGGGTTGAGCACACTATCTCTGAGCTACACCTCCAGCCCCTAATTTTAGTTAACACTAATTTTCTTTTTTGGTTCATGATTCTTGTGTCTTAGCTAAGAAATCTTTGTTTATCTCCAGAGGCAAAGGTATCATATTTTTTTTCTGAAAAGTTTTAATTTCAGTTTTTATGTTTAGATTAATGTTCCATTTCAAATTTTATTTTATTTACTTTTTTGTGGTACTAGGGATTGAACCCAGGAACACTTACTACTGAGCTACATTCCCATCCTATTTTATTTATTTTTATTTTTTGAATTTTTAGAATTGTTTTAAAATTTAATTTTTTTTTAACCTGACACTGGGGATGCTGTACTACTAAGCTACATCCCCAGCCCTTTTGATTTTTTATTTAGAGAATAAGGTATTTCAAAGTTCCTGAGCTGGGCTTGAACTTGATATCCTCTTGTCTCGGCTCCTAAGTAGCTGGGATTACAGAGATGTACCACCACTCCAGGTTTTCAGTTTGATTTTATTTATGCATTTTACACTTCCCTTTAATTCATTAGACAAATACTAATTGAGTGCTTTGTACCAGGCACTGTTTTAGGCATGTGGTACCCACTAGCAAGCAAAAAGATAAATATTCTCTGTGAGTATTAAACCTACATCCTAGGGGAAGTGACAAACAATAAACTAATAAATAAGAATTATAGAGTATGATAAAGGATCATGAAATTGGGAAATAATAGGGCAAGGTAAAGGACAGTGAGAATTTTTGCCACAAATAGAATGTGTCATTTAAAGAATGATTTGAAACTGGGCACAGTGGCACATACCTGTAATCCCAGCAATTTGGGAGGCTAAAGCAGAAGGATTGCAAGTTTGAGGCTAGCCTCAACCACTTAGTGAGACCCTGTCTCAAAATAAAAAGGGCTGCTGAGGATGTAGCTCAATGGTTGAGCACCCTGGGTTCAATCCCCAGTACTTCATAAAGAAAGAGTAACTTGAAGGGCCAGAAATGTAACTTAGTGGTAGACATTTTTAATACTTGAGATCTTTGACATGGGAAGCAATTTGAGGGATCATTATACTTAATATACATTTTAAAATAGCACATAGCTCTGCCTGAATACTACTTAGAGATTTCATATTATTGCTTCTTTAGATATCTACTTAATGGGTGTGAAAGCATTACGTTTCCTGAAAAGTATACCTAATATTCTGATTTTCTTATTTCAGAAAGATCCAGATTACCTGAAGATGTGGTTGGATAACTTTGTTTCTAGCTATGAACAATTCTTAGATGTTGACTTTGAAAAACTGCCTACCAGGTATGTAGAAACACTAATTTCTTATCTTTAGTTCCTGTTCTTTTTTGGTGTGTATATGTTTGGGTGTAGATGGACACAATACCTTTATTTTTATTTATTTTTGTATGGTGCTGAGGATTGAACTCAGTGCCTCACACATGCCAGGAAGTGCTCTACCACTGAGCTACAACCCCAGCCCATCATTTCTGTTTTTTTTTTTTTTTTTAAATATATATATATTTTAGTTGTAGATGGACACAATACCTTTATTTTGTTTATTTATTTTTATGTGGTGCTGAGAATTGAACCCAGTGCTTCACACATGCAAGGCAAGCACTCTACCACTGAACTACAACCCCAGCCCCCATTGTTTCTGTTTTAACACAAAAATTTCACCGGTGACATATTACACTCAATTATATTAACACTCTTGATATCCTGATATCTTGCTCTCATCAGACATCCCTAATTGATCACAGCAGTCTTTCTTGATATTAGACCTGGCTTCTAAGAAGCCTCTTCTCTGCTTTGGTGAGATACTACCCACTAGGTGTCTGTCCCACAGTTCTCTTAATTTCAAACACTCTACCCAATATTAGCACCAGATCTCACAAATTAAGGGCCAAGACCTCATAAAACTGCCCTCATTTTAGATATCAGTCACTAGTCTTGGGGGACACTGGAGCTTCTGACTATAAATTCAGCATTCTTAAATTGTTTTTTTTTTTTGTAATTGTAGATGAATAGAGTGCCTTTATTTTATGCTTATTTTTATGTGGTGCTAAGGATCAAACCCAGTGCCTCACACATGCTAGGCAAGCACTCTGCCTCTGAGCTATAGCCTCACTTTGTTTTAGTCTTGCATCACTGTGACCAAATTACCTGACAGGAACAACTTAGAAGAGGGAAAATGTATTTGGAACTCATAGTTTCAGAGGTCTCAGTCCATTGACAGCTGAGTCCACTGTCCTGGGCCCAAGGTGAGACAGTACATCATGGCTAAAGGGCAGGGCAGCTCACTTTTTGGTGGCCAGGAGGAGTCTGTAGAATGAAATGGGAGCCAAATCTCATAATTCCGCCCTCCCTCCTTCTCTCCCTCCCTCCCTTGCTTCCTTCTTCCCTCCCTCCCTTCTCTTCTTTCTTACCCCCCTTTTCTTCTTCCCTTCCTTCCATTCCTTTCTTCCCTTCCTCCTTCCCTTCCTTCTTTCCCTTTCTTCCTTCCCTCCTTTCCTTCCTTCCTTCCCTTTCTTCCTTCTCTCCCTTCCCTCCCTTCCTTCCCTCCCTTCCTTCCTTTCCTTCCTTCCTCTCTCTATAGTGCTGGGAATAAAACCCAGAGCCTTGTGTATGCTAGTAAGTACTCTACCCCCCAGCTGTAGCCCTAGCCCTAGGGGCCAAATCATGAAATACCATGCGTGCAATACTGATGTATTTGATTTTATTGTTGTTATGAATAATAAGAATGCGATTAAAAACTTTTCTATGTGAGAATACCACAATCAACTTTGTTTTCAAAAGTCACTTTGGTGGCATATTATAGAGGTTGATTTGGTGAGAGTTGAGACTTGAAGGAAAGAGGTAATTATGATAATACAGAGAAGAAACCTTAGAGCTTGGCACCAAGACATGGAACTCAAGAAAATTAAGATTATGCAAAGAAAGGACTAATCATTTATTATTTATAAAAATTCACAATTTATTATTTATAAATTCATCCACTGCATGATTTTGTTTGCATTAGAATATTATGTGTGATAGGTTTATAAAGGCTGAAAAATATTAAATCTTGAGGTGTCTTCAAAATAAGGTTATGCAGTTTTTCTACCAATAAAAGAATATTCTTATTGTTCGTGCTTATAAGTACTTTTGTTTTTAAGGACCGGGAATATAGCTCAGTGGTAGAGCCCTTGTCTAGCGTGTGCAAGGCCCTGGGCTTAGCCCTAGAACTGAAAAAAAGAAAGTAAAAAAGAGCAGTACTTTTATTTTAATAATTTTCAGCTCACTTTAAATCATGGACATAGGTTTTTATACAGTTAGGTAGGATTTGGGCTTTTGAATATTTGGAATTTTGGAATGAGGCTTTTCAAGTTTCTAAAGTAGGCTGCTACTTATTCATAACATGTCTTTATTTATTTATTTATTTATTTGCTTATTTATTGGCAGATCATTTCCAAAAGCATGATGTATACTTATATTGCCATTGTGTTTAATTAAAGATATGGAATGCTAAGAGCATTGCTCTATTTATAATGTGATTGGTTTATTTGAAATTGTGTCTTATATTTGTGTGAAAAAGCTGAATGATGAATTTAGAGGCTTTTTAAAAAAAGTTTTTTTTTTTATAGTTAAAGATGGACAGCATGCCTTTATTTGTCTAGTTTTTTATGCGGTGCTAAGGATCGAACCTTGTACATGCTAGGCAAGTGCTCTGTCACTGAGCTATATCTCCAGCCCAAATTTAGAGTTTATTGATATAAAACATTCAAAATTTCAAGTGTAGACTATGTAAGACATTGAATAAAATAAAGTCATCTTAAAGGTAGGAAACTCATTTAATAAAATAAAATAAATTAATAAAATAAAATAGAATAAAACTCATTTAAAGGAAACTGACTATAGAATTTTTGAGTTAGAAAATTTATAGTGTAACGTAGGGAATGCCTTTACCATTATTACATAAAGCTTTGAAAAAACTTTAAGGCAGTCTTTTTTTTTTTTTTTTTTTTTGGTACCAGGGATTGAACTCAGGGGCACTTGATCACTGAGCCACATCCCCAGCCCTATGACAGGGTCTCACTGAGTTGCTTAGCACCTCACAAAATTGCTGAGGCTGGCTTTGAACTCATGATCCTCCTGCCTTCACCTCCCAAGCCGCTGGGATTACAGGCATGCGCCACTGCGCCTGGCAAGGCAGTCTTCTTGAAATGTTAGACAGAATCATTTGCAACTGTTTATAGTAGGTATTCAGTAGCCACACACAGAGAACAAATTTTCAGAGCATAGAATTTCTAAAGGTAGGAAAATGCTTCCAGGTTCTTAAATGCTCATCATATTAGGAGTGCAAACAAAAATTTCAACTTTGTAAGTCATGTTCTAATCCAGTACTAATTTTATAATTAAAGCTAATTTTAAAAAAATCCATATATTTCTCTTTCCTGTAAGTTAATTATTGTGTGTCTGTGTGTGTGTTTTGCTAGGGGTTGAGCCCAAAGCCTTATGCATGCTAGGCAAGTAATTTACCACTGATCCACACCTCCAGCCCTAATTATTCTATTTTATGTGTGCATGGTATGGGGGCCTGTGCATATGGCAAGTGCTCTAACATTACTGAGCTACATCTCCAGCCCTCAAAGCCGATTATTCTTGACTGTCTAGTTATTTATTTAAAGAATATGCAGATAAAGACTGGGGTGACCTAGGACAAGGAAATACTTTTTAATGCTATTATGGAGTATTAGAAAAAAATCTAATGTTTTCTTTGTTGTTGACATGTTTTTAGAAAAAGGAGACAAATGATTTAAGTAGTATTTAAAATTGCATTTAAATATTTGTTTATTATTTTGAAGTTACTGTTTTTACTAAGTACCTCCTTTTAACTCTTCAGCATATGAGAGTGAAAGAATCCAAAGCTACAAGTGAGGTAGTTTCTAAACTAAAATGAAATGTGATATTTTTATAACATGTTTATAGAATTTGGGCATCTTTGTAATGAGCTTTGTGGTTTTACTTTCTGTATAATTTAGTTAAAATTAGTTGTTCATTTTATAAAATCACTTTGTTAATTTATGTTGTGGGGTGATTCAGAAAGATGATATTATATATCTATTTATATGTTATATAAATCATAAATGTGTAAATTATGTATTATATTGTATTTATTTATGTATTTGTGTGACTCCTGGTGGTGATGTCCTTCAGATTTTTCCGTCAACAGTAGATCAAATAGCCTTTTACTCAGTGTAAATTACTAGTAATACTTCATATTAAACATTATCTATAAAAAAAAACTGTTACAAATTACAATTGTCATTTAATCATAGTTCTTTTTTTTTTTTTTTTTTCTAAATTTTTATTTTTTTTTATTGTTGGTTGTTCAAAACATTACATAGTTCTTGATATATCATCTTTCACACTTTGCTTCAAGTGGGTTATGAACTCCCATTTTTAGCCCATATACAGATTGCAGAATCACATCAATTACACATCCATTGATTTACATATTGCCATACTAGTGACTGTCGTGTTCTGCTACCTTTCCTATCCTCTACTATCCCCCCTCCCTTAATCATAGTTCTTTACTTTATTGAGTAATAAATAATTTCTCCACCTCTATTCTTCTTAATAGAGGTGGAGAAATTAGTATACAGTAGCTTATGAAAAGATTCTTAGGCTTTAGTGATAGTATGTTTAAAATATATTAGATTTTAATAATTCTTAACATATTTCACAGCAAAAATGCATATTGACTTTCTGGTTTCAGAATTCAGTAAAATAGGGCAAGAAGATATTAAAATTTTATAATTCGGGAAATTCAGAGATCATATGACCAACTCCACGTTACAGAGGTGGAATTTAGTGTCCAGGCCTTTAGACTTTGAATCTAGGTATATGTTTTTATTGTGAGACACACACCAGAGAAGCCACTCACATCTTGTGTTAAATTTTGCCTTTAAAGAATTACATAGACTTCTTACACAGAAGTAATTTGTAACAGAATATTTTTATATGACATTAAAAAATGAAGCTTATGCTTGTGATGTTCATTTATCTTTTTAAAATATTTTCTCTGATCACATGGCTTGATGAGTCTATAATAATGTCATTAGTGTTCAGTAAAACAGATGACAAATATTAAATGAATAAGTACTTCATTTTTGTTCACTGGTTATTGTTTCTTTTAGAAATAGTATACATACAAACTGGGCATGGTGGTACCAGCCTATACTCCCAGTGACTCAGGAGGCTGAGAGAGGAGGTGATCACAAGTTTGAGGTCAGCCTCGACAACTAAGCCAGACCCTGTCTCAAAATTTAAAAAAAATAGAAAGGAGGGCTGGGGATGTGGCTCAGCAGTTAAGCATTCCTAGGTTCAATCCCTGGTAGCAAAAATAATAAAGTAAAATAAAATAAAATTTAAAAATAAATGAATGAATGAATGAAAAAGAAAGAAAAGAACCAGGGATGTAGCTCAGTGGTAAAGCACCCCTAGATTCAATCTCCAGTGCCCCCCAAAATAACACTGACAAGAAACCCCAAAATAAATAGTATACATATGCATAATATTTCTAAGTAGAAAGCTGATTAATTTATATTCTAAATATTTTCTTTAAAATAAGAACGATTGAAAATAGAGTCTATCTCCCCTGAAATAAGACTAATCATTCTACTCTAATAATCTTGTAGTTGTGAGTCATTTGGTTGTTCTTTAGGACAAGAAAGCATATAGTATCTGGAAAGGATTTAAAAAGTTCTTTAGGATGAATGAAAATGGAGTTCATTTCAGTGCTAGAATTTTCTTCCTTTCTTTCAACCCTCCTTTTGTTTTGTACCCCTTATATTGTAGGGTAGATGATGTGCCTCCAGGAATATCTCTGCTTCCTGACAATATTCTGCAGGTTCTGAGGATCCAGCTGCTACAATGTGTTCAGAAAATGGCAGATGGGTTAGAGGAGCAACAACAAGCCTTATCACTTTTACTTGTCAAATTCTTTATTATTCTTTGCAGGTATGTGGTACAAAAACAAAAAACACCAATGATCTGTTTTAAAGTAATTATTACCAAAATAATAATGTATTTATTACTAATAATATTTATTGTTTGTTTGGATCTTTAAAGAGACACTCAGGAATTTCAAAGGTTTGCTTTAGAGTAAAGACAATGACAGGAGTTTTTAGTTCAGAAAGAAATGATAACACCAGTATTTTCTTTGTGACTCAGCTGTTAATGAAACACACTTTTTTTTTGTTTCCCCACCGGTGCTGGGGATTGAATCCAGGGCCTCATGCATGCTAGGCAAGTGCTCTGTCACTGAACCACACCCTGAGCCAATGTATACACATTTTTATTACTATGCATTGTATTTGTGAAAATATCTCTTTTTTTTTTTAACAAAGTACTTTTTTAAAAAAAATATTTTTTTAGTTATAGATGGATGCAATATCTTTATTTTGCTTATTCATCTTTAATGTGATGCTGAGGATCGAACCCAGTGCCTCACATGTGTGAGGCAAGTGTTCTGCCACTGAGCCACAACCCCAGCCCCACAAAGTACTTTTTTAAAATATGTATTTTTTGAGTTGTAGGTGGACGCAATACCTTTATTTTATTTTTATGTGGTGCTGAGAATTGAACACAGTGCCTCACACGTGCCATGTGAGTGCTCTACCACTGAGCCCCAGCCCCAGCCTGTGAAAATATCCTTTAACTTCCATTTTATCAGTTTATCAGCAAAGTACAATTATCCTACAGGTTATCCTATTTTCCAGATTTATAGATTAGGTTTGTGGTACTTAAATTTTGGTGTACTGTAAGTATCAACTGGAAAGCTTAGTAGAAATGAAGCTTGAATGTTGCTTATGAAATTTCTGGTTCAAAAGGGCTTAAACATCCGGGTTTTTCAAAAATTCCACACTAATCTGCACATAAGAATTATAAAGCTGTTAAGTTAGGAGCATAATGTGCCATTTGAAATCTGCCCTTTTTTTGTTATCCATGTTCTATAATTTCTTCCATTTTTTATGTGTGTGTGCATATATAAATTTTTTTTGGCGGGTGCTGGGAATTGAACTCAGAGGCACCTGAGTATATCCCCAGACCTATTTTATATTTTATTTAGAGACAGGGTCTCACTGAGTTGCTTAGCACCTTGCTGAGGCAGCCTTTGAACTTAATGATCCTCCTGCCTCAGCTTCCTGAGTCACTGGGATTACAGGTGTATGCCACCGTCCCTGGCTGTTTTATATTTTATAGTTAATAGATGAATATGGTCTTTTTTTTTCTTTCTTTCTTTTTTTTTTTTTTAGAGAGAGAGAGAGAGAATTTTAATATTTATTTATTTTTTAGTTTTCGGCAGACACAACATCTTTGTTTGTATGTGGTGCTAAGGATCGAACCCGGGCCGCATGCATGCTAGGCGAGCCCGCTACCGTTTGAGCCACATCCCCAGCCCAATGAATATGGTCTTAATATTTAACTTTTTAGTCATCTTTGACTTAGTTGCTTATTGCCTTTCATTGCAAAAATTATAAAATGATTGAGCAATAATTGCTAAAACAGTTCACCCCTAAATTAGGTTCACTAAGAACCTTAGGCATACTTCTGTTTTCCTTTTTTTGATACCAGGGATTGAACCCAGGGGCACTTAACCATTGAGGTGCATCCCAGACTTTCATATTATTTATTTATTAATTTTTTAGTACCAGGTATCGATCCCAGGGGTGTTCAACGACTGAGTCACCTCCCCAGCATCCCACCTTTTTTTTTTTTAGAGAGAGAGAATGAGAGAATTTTAATATTTATTTATATTTTTTAGTTTTCGGCGGACACAACATCTTTGTTTGTATGTGGTGCTGAGGATTGACCCCTGGCCGCACGCATGCCAGGCGAGCGCGCTACCGCTTGAGCCACTTCCCCAGCCCTTCTTTTTTATTTTATATCTCGAGAAGAGGTCTTGCCAAGTTACTTAGAGCCTCACTAAATTGCTGAGGCTGCCTTTGAACTTGCCATCCTCCTGCCTCAGCCTTCTGAGCAGCTAGGATTACAGATATGCACCACCGTGTCTGTCTTGTATTTTTTGAGATAGGATTTGGCCATGAACTGAGGATGGTCTTTGTTTGTTATAATTAGTTACACATGATAGTAGAATGTATTTTGACATATTATACAAACATGGGGTATAACTTCTCATTCTTCTGGTTGTACATGATATAGAATTACATTGGTCATGTAATAATATATGCACATAGTATATTAATGTCCAGTTCATTCTGTTGTCTTTTCTATTCCCATTCCCCCTCTCTCCCCTTCATTCCCCTTTGTTTAATCTAAAGTACTTCTATTCTGATGTTGGTCCTGAACTTGGAATCCTCCTGTCTCAGCCTCTTGAGCCACTGGGATTACAGGTGTGCGCCACTGTGCCCAGCCACTAATTCAGCTTTAACTGTGTGTAAAATGTTATATTCACTTTTTTTAATATTTATTTTTTAGTTGTAGTTGGACACAATACCTTTGTTTTATTTATTTATTTTTATGTGGTGCTGAGCATTGAACCCAGGGCCTCGCATGTGCTAGGCAAGCGCTCAGCAAACGCTCTACTGCAGAGCCATGACCCCAGCCCATATTAACTTTTTTTAAAAAATTACTTTTTATTTGTTTAAATTAGTTATATATGATGGTAGAATGCGCTTATATACTTTGATATATCATACATAGATGGTGTATAATTTCTCGTTTTTCTGAGTATACATATTGAAGGATATCATATTGGTCATACTCACATATATACATAAAGTAATAATGTCTGTTTCATTCTACCATCTTTCTTATCCCCACATCCCATATTCACTTTTTAATATAAGCTTTATTAGGAGATAATTAACATACCATACAAGTCATCCACTTAAATGTATTTGGTGGTTTTTGCCAGGTGTGGTGGCACACATGTCTAAACTTAGCTACTTGGGAGGCTGAGGGAGGAAGAATGCAAGTTTGAGGCAATTTAACAAGACCCTGTCTCAACAAGGACTGGGGATATAGCTTACTGCTTGAATAGCATGTCTGAGGTCCTGGTTACTGAAAGAAAATAATAAAGTATTATTCATTGGTTTTAAACATATTTAGAACATATTTATGAGCTTATAAGGAAACTCTCAGTACTCATTGGTATCACTCCCCATTCATTGTGTCTCCATCCTTTGGTAACTACTTATCTACTTCTGTTTCATCAAAATGAATTTTTCAAAGAAATGAAATTATATATTATGTGGTCCTTTGTGACTTACCATAATATTTTCAAGGTTCATCCATTTTGTAGAATACATTGATACTTCATTTCTTCTTGTGGCTATATAATAATCCATCATGGATATATCATTTTATCCATTTATCTTTTTCATTACAGGTTTATTAGTTGGCATGAAGTGGTATCTCATTATGATTTGACTTGCATGTGATTTTTCAAGGCCCATGATGTTGAACATTTTTTCATGTGCTTATTGGTTATAAGTATTGGAAATATAATGTGAGTTACATGTAAACTTTAAAATTTTCTAGTATCATTAACAAGAGGAGAAACAGCCAAGATGACATGCTGGTCTGACTTTTTGCATTAAGAAACCTGTTAGTTTAATTAATTTTTTCTGTTCCCTTAGCATTTACTGGATTTTTTTGGGGGGAGGGGGGATGGCATTGGGGATTTAACCCAGTGGCCGTTTCCACTGAGCTACATCTCCAGTCCTTTTTATTTTTTATTTTGAGACAGGATCTCACTAAGTTGCTTAGGGCCTCACTAAGTTGCTAAGGCTGGTGTTGTACTTGTGATCTTCCTGTCTCAGCCTCCAGAGCCACTGGGATTGCAGGTTTGCACCACTGAGCCTAGGACATTTACTGGACTTTATTTTTATTTATTTCTTTATTTTATATAGTTTTTAGTTGTTGATAGAACTTTATTTCTTTATATGTGGTGCTGAGAATAGAAGCCATTGCCTCACACGTGCTAGATAAGTGCTCTACCACTGAGCTACAACCCCAGCCCTGGATTTTAAAATGTATTTTATGAAGTCCCAGTGGTACAGAAAACGAATGAACTTTACTCTGAAAATTATGCAAAAAAACTTCAGATGTAGTAAATATTAGCATATGTCATACTTCAGTCTTATAAAAATGGAATAAAATCAGGGCCATATTTTAATTAAATATCAATCACTTACTGACCTGCTTTAAACAGGATGTGAAATTATAGTCTCTTAGAGTATGTAAATATGCCAGTAATCCTTCTATTGAGGAATTTTAATGTAGTTGAGGAAATACAAGAATGAAAAGGGAATTGTAATTAAAAAAGCAAAGTGAAACCTATAAAGCAACATGTGGTATAATGGTGACACTATATATACAAAATCTAAACTAATAATCTGTGTAGGGAAAATACAACCTTTAAATAAATAATCTAGATTGAAATAATTGCTTATGTTCAGATTATAAGAATATTGGTCAGCCAGGCATTATGGTGCATGCATGTAATCCCAGCAGCTCAGGAGGCTGAGGCAGGAGGATCCTGAGTTCAAAGCCAGCCTCATAAAGTTAGTGAGGACCTAAGCAACTCAGTGAGGCCTTGTCTCTAAATGAAAAAAAAATATATAAAAAAGTTTCAGCACCCCTGGGTTCAATTCCCAGTACTAAAAAGAGAAAAAAAAAGAATATTGGTGATTTTTTTTTTTTCCTTCTGGTTCTAATTTGTGGTTTTGTTTAATTTTCCTATAAGTAGATACAAGTCTACTTGTCTGAGAAATTGTGGTCTTATATAATATTTGCTATCTTAAACATTTTCTGTTGATAGTAATTAATGGTGCTTGAGGTGTATTTTACATTTGTGGGAAAAGAGTTATATAACTATGTTGATTTTATGTTTTAATAAGTATCAGTTGTAGTTTGTTACCCATATCTGTCCTCAAAATTCAAGCTTAGTACACATTTTGTTCACCTTTCAAGTGTAATAATAATATGATTTTTTTTGTCATAGAAATCTATCAAATGTGGAAGAAATTGGAACATGCTCTTATATTAATCATGTTATCACCATGACAACACTCTATATTCAGCAAGTAGGTGTGAACTAATATGTTATTCTTTTTTGGTACTTATTGAGACTTTTTTTAAAAAATTATAATTAATGTAATTAAATGTTTTCATAGGATGTAATAGTTGAGAAGAGAATTTAAATTATCATTGGGTAGTAAATATTTCAGAAATCTTATACATACTAGTTTAAATGTATACAAGTAGCTGTTATGTTATTTTAACTTAACAAATTAAAGTGTTTTGTAAATGGCTTTTTAAAATGACCCAGTTTGTGAATTTGATGTATTTATGTATTTAGCTACTAAATATCTTATTGAAAACATCATTTTTCTCAAAAGAGGATTGGCTATTTTAAACATATACTAGGAAAAATTTAAATTATGAGAGGGTATATGTAGTCTATATGATTAAATGACCCCTTTTGCCTCAAAAGGAAGTTATTTGAATAAAAATGATTTATTGTTAGATGGTGAATGAAACATGTCTAATTTTATGTTTAACTTTATTCTCAGTTAAAAAGCAAAAAAAAAGAGAAGGAAATGGCCGATCAGACATCAATTGAAGAATTTGTGATCCATGCATTGGCATTTTGTGAAAGTTTATATGATCCATATAGAAATTGGAGACAAAGAATTTCAGGGTATGTCTTATAAATCACATTATTTAGAACGTGAATGTAAGAATATATGTGATTTTTCAAAGTGAAAGCAATTGTAAAGGTATGGATAATACCCACAGATTTAACTCTGAGAGAAATATGTTAGAGGTAATGAATTAGTGATAAATGATACTTCCAGATAATTAAATGTACTCTGAAGTTGTATTTTATAATGCTATTGAGTACTGCTAATTTGATAAGAAATGTTAAAAGCATATTGATATAAATGGAGTACTACAGTTTTTAAAGAAAATTTCCATTTACAGAACATTTTACTACTAGGAGTATATATTGTTCAGCGGTATATATGGAAGGCTTTACGTTTGATTTACAGCACCCCCAAATACACATATTTCAAATACCTTGTAGCAATGTTTTCTTTTTCTTTTTCTTTCCATGGTGCTAGGGATTGAACCCAGGGCCTCCTACATGTTAGGCAAATGTTCTGCTGGTGAGCTACATCAGCTATTTAATTGTGAGCATGTATCAGTCAAGGTCCAGTCAAGGCAAACTAAAACCATACTAGATATTAAAAGACAATGTAATACTAGGAAATTATTAAACAGATATTAGAGAACTGAAAAAGCAAAGGTGGGACATATAGTACAGAGATAGTGACTTCATGAAAGTTACCTTCCTTGAGGCTTTGGGAACAAGGGGAAAAAATTGCAAGTATCAGAATCAAGATGTTCGGAGAATAGGCCCTCTAACCCTCTAGAAACTCTGAAGAAGGAGCATTGCTCAGCTGGTACTGGTATTGCTGACTAGCTGGGAACAGACTGGTTCTGGGACTGCCAAAACTGAATTAAGGACAGAAATCAATTGCCATTTCTTTAATTAAGAATTGTTGTAGGGGCAATGTCAATGGTAAGTATAGAAAAGTAAGAATAGGGAAGCAGTGCCTGCTTGACTTTTTCTTCTGGCTTTCATCTGGTACCCACTATTGGGCATCCCCAAAGGAAGTCAGCTGGAAAACAAAGAAATAATTTTCATTGTCAGCTCCAGCATCAGAAAGCAGAGAAGAGGTAGGATTGTGTGTTTGTAGCATAGTGGCTGTTAAACTATGATGCGAAGAAAAGACCATTGACTCCAATTTTGAATCAAATTAAAGCAAGCTTGTATTTGTGTACACTGGAGCTGGCCAGGACTGTCTCTCCCGAAAACCCCAGGCTAGAGATCATTCCCCCAGCTTTCCAGGAACACGATTTTATAGCAAAGTTGCAAAGGGGGGTGTCTTGAGAACTTACAGAGAACAGGATTTTGACAAGCATAATACAAAGGCAGATAGCAGGTTAATGATCTACATGGCATGACATTTCAAGGTAGGGAGTAAATTCAGATCCCAACATCAGAATTTATGAGGCACCATTGAGGTTTCAGAGAGGGTTGTTACCTGGTCGGGGGAGTCAGGATTTATGAGGCACCACTGAGATTTTAGAGAGTGTTGTTATCTGGTCAGGGAAAGCAAGGCTTGGGTGAGTTCAAGGTACGGGCAGGAATTACAAACAAATTTAGAAATTACAGTAATTTATAATAAAACAGAGATTAACTTTTCATGACTTTGTGACAAGATGGCTCCCAATCTTAAAATGGAATTAGGTTGAGTTCATCAGTGATAGTAGCTTATTATCAATTCAGAGCTCAAAGAAGTTTTTAAACTCACATGTTGTTCTTATCTGTGGGCATAGAATAGGAAGAATTGTATCATCACCCTCAGTGAGACCTCTTTTCAAGTTTTCTAAAATCTGCTTAAGATATTTCCATTTTCACTGTCAATTTAACCTGACCCCATTTAGAAATAATTCCTACTTCCTGCAACATGATCACAATTTTGTTTCAAAAATTCAGATTTTCACTGAATTTCAGTGTTTTTTTATAGGCATTGTATACCCTCACTTTGAATAGATGAAGAATGGATAACTGAGAGAACATCTGTATAAGCTATGTGGCAATATACTTTGTATGTGCTATATAGTAATAAGATTTTATTTTCTTCAAATGGGGTCTTGCTGTGTTGCCCATGCTGGCCTCAAACTCAAGATCCTTCTGTCTTAACCTCCTGAATAACTGGGATTATAAGCATGATATAATTTATTGAAATAAGAATACATCCTAGTGAGGGGATGAGGAAATGTTGGTTAAAGGACATAAATTTTCATTTAGACAGGAAGAATATGTTTAAGAGATAAGTTTTACAACATAGTGACTCTAGTTAATAACAATGTATTTTAGGGGCTGAGGCTGTAGCTCAGTGGTAGAGCTCTTGTTTAGCATGTGCAAGGCACTGGGTGCTATCCTCAGCACTACATAAAAACCAATAAGTAAAGGCATTGTGTCCATCTCCAACTAAAAAGAAAAGAAAAGGAAAAAACCCAACCAAAAATACCCCAAATTTTAATACTTGAAAATGGCTAAGACAATAGTATGTTAAGCCAGGCATCCAGGCATGGTGGTGCATACCTGTAACTACAGTGATTTGGGAGGCTGAGGCAGGAGGACCATAAATTGAAGGCCAGCCTTAGCAATTTTTTGAGCAACTTAGTGACTCCCTATCTCAAAATAAAATGTAAAAAAAGATCTGGGGATATAGCATATTGGAAAAGTGTCCCTGGGTTTAATTACTATTACCAAATAAAAAGAGTAGTATGTGGGATATTACATATGTTAATTAGCTAGATTTGGCAATTCTGTAGTATATACATATTTCAGAATATCATGTTGTATACAATAAATAAATATGCATTTTTTGTCAATTTATTTTTAAAAAAGAAGATATCCTTTAGTTAAGGCAAGAAGAGAAATAATAGGAACATGTGCTTCAATTATGAAAATACAAGAATCCTCTCTGAGTGTTTCTACGTTTACTATACACCTTGAGAGAATTTGTCTATATGATTTTGGTTCTCCAGAAAAATAGAACCAATAGAATGTGTAGGATTTGTGTGTGTGTGTGTGGGAAGGGGCACTGAAGTTTTATAAGGAACTGGTCGTGTAATTACAGAATCTGGTAAGTCCAAATCTTCAGTGTAGCTTGGCAGGTGTGAGACCTGTTTTGGTCAGCTTTGTCACTGCTGATTAAAATACTGACCAGAGCAATTTTTGAGAGGAAAAGTTTATTTGGGGGCTCATGGTTTCAGTCATTTTTTTTTCTTTAGTTGTAGATGGACACAATACCTTTATTTTATTTATTTAGTTTTTATGTGGTGCTGAGGATTAAATCCAGTGTGTCACACGTGCTGGGAAAGTGCTCTACCACTGAGCCATAACTCCAGCCTGGTTTCAATTATAATTTATAGACAGCAGGCTCCATTCTTTGGGGCTCAAAAGAGGCAGGACATCATGTTGGAAGAGTCTGGTGGAAGGCAGCAGCTCACTTGTTGATCAGGCAGCAGAGAGAGAGAGAGAGACTCTACTTACCAGATACAAAATATATACCCCAAAGGTACACCTGCAATGACCCACTTCCTCCAGCCACACCCTCCCCACCTTCAGTCACTGCTCAGTTAATCCCATCAGGGGGTTAATTCAGTGATTGGTTAAGGCTCCCATAACCCAATCATTTCTCTTCTAAACCTTCTTGCATTGTCTCTCACACATGAGCTTTTGGGGAACACCTCACATCCAAACCATAACAAGACCCAAGAGAACCAGTGGTGGTAGGGTGGCAGGTGGACATGCAGAAGAGCTAAAGATGAAGATTAAGTGTCATGGGAGACTTGGTCTGTTAGAGAATTCCTTGTTGCTCAGGGAAGCTAGTCTTTATTCTATTCAGGCTTTCAACATTATGGAAGACAATATGCTTTACCCAGAGCCCACCAATTTACCAGTTATTCTTATCCCAAGACACCTGCCAAGTTAATAAAGTTAGCCATCACATAGTCCTTACACTTCTTGACTGTTTATTAATGGGAAGGTACTAATAACCTTCTGAACACTTTCTTTTCTCTTGAATTGTGTGCTTTTTTTCCAGAGGAAGGTCTTTGAATTTCTTTTGTAAAGATTTTGTGTAACTCAGAATATACTAGATTATGATACTTTAATAAACAAGGGGCACAGAATAATGAAGGTTTATTTATGTTTCATGCTATCTGTCTAGTACTGTGGGTATTCAGGAGCTTCTGCTTACCCTCGTCACTCAAGGTCCCAACCTGACAGAACAGCCGGCTTGTTAGGCTTTGCTATTTTCTACATGAGAGAGACAAGAAAGTGGCACAAGATCTCACATTGATAACTGAATGTTCTTTTTTGGTCATGTCATGTGACACAAAACATTTTCATTCTGAACTCATAAGTCAGAACTAATGACATGTCCCTAACCACCACAAAGGGGCAAAAAGTTCAGTTCTATGATATGACTAGAAGTGCTGTAAAAATGGAAGTAGTTGCATATAACATCATTACTACCTTTTGCCTCTCCCTGTACGTTGCTTATGTTTCTCTAAAGATGCAAAGAGGTAAATAGCAGTGCTTTGTTTGTAGCCTTGATACTCATTTTGACTTTGGTTCCCAAAGAATGGGAACCTCTATTTTGACATGCATGCCAGAGATTTCTCAAAGGAAAACGTATCTCTTCCTCCTACTCTTTGTCATGTCTCCATTTTCCACCTTATGCTTATCACCAATGGCGGATCTAAGAGAACATGTTAAGTTTTGAAACAATGACAGAATTTCTTTTTATAGACAGTAAGGCAGGTACAGAAAGGAACATAAAATCAGTCTGAAAATGATAGAGGAGAGTCTTTTAAAGAAATCCTTAAAATAAGAGCAAAATGAATTCAAAATATGGGAAAGAAAAGATTTATAAAAAGATAGACCTGATAAATTTAAGGAGAGTAAAATTGGTAATTGAAAACAATTGTAGTTTTTGACAGCTACAAACAAGAAGAAAATTTTTAAATAGTATAACATATAGAAAAAGAATTCTACATATTTAAGATGGCAACTGAAAGAGGAATGGAATAGAAGATGAATAGTGGCATTTA